GGCTTAGGGCGACCCCTGGTGGGCTGGAGAGAGTCTGTGAAAGGAGAGATGAAGAGCAACACTCTGATGGCTGCACTGAAGGAACTTCATGCAGACAAGACAAGGCTGATGGATTATGGGAAAACCCACCCTAAGGAAGAGGAGGAGGAGGAAGAAGATGAGGAGGAAGAGGATGATGATAGTGATGAGGAAGAAGAGGTTTCATCCGATTGCAAAAATGAAATGTTATTTAGTTGACTGTTCAGGACATGTGATGAGCGGTTTTATTTGTTTGCATGTTAGGAAGAAGAAGAAGAAGAAGAAGAAGAAGAAGAAGAGGAGGAGGAGAAGGAAGAGGAGGAGGAGGAAGAAGAGGAAGAAGAGGAAGCAACTGAGTCTCCCACTAATCAAACAGAAACTCAGTCCAACATCACTGTCTTTGAATGTCAGACTGACAACAGAGAAATTAGCTGCAGGGGGGTCGGCATGACCCACCTGCCCATCTTCCAGGACCACGAGGCCACAAAACTGGACGTGTCAGGTGTGGGTTTCAACTGTCATTCTAAAAAAAAGAAAAAGTAAAGAAAAGAAAAGCGTATACATTGCTTAAGTAATGGTACAGAAGATAAATTAATAATATTTTAGTATCTTTGCCACTTTTGTCCCATTTTCATTTTCATTAAAAAAAGAGAGAGATTTTTATTCTACAGTGTCTAAGTGTTTTAATGAAAATGGTTTTTCCTTGACTAAATATTGTATAAACTGAACAAAACACATAAGAAATCCATAACACGTGTGATTTGTCTTTAAAGAAAACAACATCTCTTTCGTCGCGCCACAAACCTTTTTTGGCCTGCCCAACTTGGACACACTGGACCTGAGTCAGAACAAACTGGATGATGAGTCGTTCAGCCAAAACCCTTTGTTTGTAAGTTTTACTGTGAGTTTTACTTTGCCTCTGTCAAGATATAAAATGCACAAGTGTTGTACCTTCTAACATGATTGGATCATCATTATTGTATTTTTTTTCTTCTATAGAATTAGAGACTGAAAAATAGTTTAAAAAGAAACACCAAAGTTCTGTTCTTGAACACAAATGTTTGATTCATAAACTTGTAAAAAGCCAAAATAAACTTGAGGCTTTTTGCTGATTTGTAGTTATAAATCTGGCATTATACTGACGGTTAAATATCCACTGGAATTGAGTCTCAGCTGTTATTTTTAAACAAAATAACTACAAAAGTCATTTTCTTTCTCAGAGTACATCGAGCAGGTTTTATGAATCACTGTGCATTTATTAAAACTAAGCCCAGACCTTAACGCTGCACAAATAATGACGTTGGATTCCCACATGCTTTCTAAGTAAAACCTTGCTTTAACCTCTGAGTGAGCGCCGGCTCCGACCAGATTTCAACCACAGCAAGGCAAACCACCACGTTCTGGCCAATCAGCACACTCCTCCGCTGATTTACTGCCGCCCCATTGGCTGGRCAAGCCAGTTGGGAAAAACAGCTGCAGCCAAACGGTTTATAGAACAAAAGAGAAATTATTTTTGGAAGAATATCTTTCTTCAGTTTCTCCTCACCTGACCATAATGACAGAGGGGGCGCTGGTGAACTGGCAGGGATCATGTCCTCTGCTGACACACACACACACACACACACACACACACACACAC